ACAATAAATAAGTAAAACCATGACTTAGGTTTCACAACTTACTTAGCTGATCTTTGCATTTACTGTTGCTTTTCTGAGATTTACGGCATTTTTCCTTCCGGGATTTCAGGAGTGTTGTATGCTGGGTCCAGATGAGAGCATGGCAAGGTATGGCGTGTCTCCACACGCGGTGCATGTGCCTTCTCACCTGCTTGCTTCACTGATGCGATTTTGTAGTTGCAAGCCGACCACCCAAGCGGAGGATCTAGGCAAAGGCAGCTTATTCGATTTTAGTGGCCTGAGCCAGCGAACCACCCCAGACTTCCCAAAATGCAACCTTACTTAGAGCCTATGAAGTGGGGTGTGCTAGTTCAACCCCACAAACTCTTGGAGGTGGTACCTTGGGTTGCTTAAAAAACATTTTTCAGGGGGCGCCTGGCTGGCTCCATCGGTGGAGCATGTGCTCTTGATCTCAGGGTTGTAAGTTCGAGCCCTGGGTTGGGTGTAGAGATTACGTAAAAAATAAGATCTTTTAAAAAAATTCTTCAGGAATGAAATTCTTCAGCAGTGCTCAACTGCGCACTTCCTGCAAACCAAGGGTCAAAACATTGAATGATTGCATCGCCCCGGACTCAGTCAACGGGGCAGTGTACCAACGAATGGCTCCTCTCGGCAGGAGTGTTCGTATCAGGGGCCACAGAGAATATCCACGGCAACGTTAGGGACCCCTGAGTTTGCCCCTCCCCCAGTGCTCCCGTGAAGATGAGGAACCAGTAGCTGCATCTGACCTATCCTTCCTTCCACAGTCCTCAGGCCTCGCTGGGAGGAATTCCTGACTTTCATGGGGTACCGGAGTGGGACAGAAAGGCGTGAAGTGGGGCTCAGCCCGCCGTGCAGGATTGCCTGGGTTCTGCCTCTCCTGCTAGGACCTCGCACCTGTCACTGGTCCCTGCAGACTTCACTTCCCAGTCCCTGTGCCTTCTCATCGGAGGGTCCCTTCAGTGCTAAGATTCAGAGAGTACAGATGCGGGGTAACCCGAGTCTCTGGCTCCTTCTCCAAGTTTCCTAGTTCCTTCACACACCAGCACGAAACGCATGGACTCAGGAGGTATCCGCCTGGATTAATCAGTGCCAAACAGAACGTCACACAGACACGATTTTTATTAAGAACAGGGGGCCAGAACAGACACATGAAAAAGTGCTCAACATCACTCGGCATCAGGGAAATCCAAATCAAAACCTCAATGAGAGACCACCTCACACCAGTCAGAATGGGACAGATGTTGGCGGGGATGCGGAGAAAGGGGAACCCTCCTACACTGTTGGTGGGAATGCAAGCTGGTGCAACCACTCTGGAAAACAGTATGGAGGTTCCTCAAAAAGTTGAAAATAGAGCTACCATATGATCCAGCAATTGCACTACTGGGTATTTACCCCAAAGATACAAATGTAGGGATCCAAAGGGGTACGTGCACCCCGATGTTTATAGCAGCAATGTCCACCACAATAGCCAAACTGTGGAAAGAGCCAAGCTGTCCATCGACAGATGAATGGCTAAAGAAGATGTGGTATATATATACAATGGAATATTATGCAGCCATCAAAAGGAATGAGATCTTGCCATTTGCAACGACATGGATGGAACTGGAGGGTGTTATGCTGAGTGAAATAAGTCAATCAGAGAAAGACATGTATCATATGACCTCACTGCTATGAGGAATTCTTAATCTCAGGAAACAAACTGAGGGTTGCTGGAGTGGTGGGGGGTGGGAGGGAGGGGGTGGCTGGGTGATAGACATTGGGGAGGGTATGTGCTATGGTGAGCGCTGTGAATTGTGTAAGACTGTTGAATCACAGATCTGTACCTCTGAAACAAATAATGCAATATATGTTAAGAAAAAAAAAAGAAGAAGATAGCAGGAGGGGAAGAATAAAGGGGGGGAAATCGGAGTGGGAGACGAACCATGAGAGATGATGGACTCTGAAAAACAAACTGAGGGTTTTAGAGGGGAGGGGGGTGGGAGGATGGGTTAGCCTGGTGATGGGTATTAAAGAGGGCATGTTCTGCGTGGAGCACTGGGTGTTATGCACAAACAATGAATCATGGAACAGTACATCAAAAACTAATGATGTAATGTATGGTAATGTATGGTGATAAACATAACAATAAAAAAATTTAAAGAAAAAAAAAAAAAAGAACAGGGGGCCAGGCATGGTTAGAACCTTCTCTGCATTTAAAAAATGTATGCCCTGTAGTAAAAATAGTGTATTCTCTGGGCCATGCTCACAATCATCCCAGGAGGTAGGCAGTGACTGCCTGTTTTACAACCAAGAACCTGAGGCCTGTGGGAGCTCCTCAAGGCCACGGAGAAGCCACAGAGGCCGGATTGGAGAGTCAGCTCGCCGGGTTCTGGGAGCCTCCGTCTCTCCCGCGCTGTCCCCAGGTAAAGCACCCTCAGTACCACCCACAAGTTGGAAAGGTGAACGATCGGAAGACCTGGAGTCAGAAGCCAAGACACGCATTCTAATTCTGGTTCTAACATGACTCGTGTGATCTTGAGCAATTTCCTCCCCTTGCCGGCCTATAATACTGATGGAATGAATGGTGGCTCCGACCCTTTGTAAGCCAACTTCTAGGACTCTGGAAAATACATCTGAGGATTTTCCACCACGTCGGGCATCCTTTGCCAAGGTCAGTCCGCGGACAACTCGCGGGGATACAGCCTGAAATTCCTTGCCCTCGTTCCGCGGATGAGCGCCCTTGCCGTGGGGGCCCCAGAGATGTTAGCTGTCAGATCTGTCTGCTCCTTTCCCTTCCATTCAACACACTCTTGCTTCTTGGCTGTTTGGAACACTCTGCCCTTCCGAGCGCTTCCTGCTGGGTGCTCGCAGGCACCTAAAGGCTTCAGCTGTTTGTTTTCTCATTGGGGCTTTTGCTAAAAGCCATCTTGTTCTTCTATCAGATTAGCCCCCGGCCCCGCCTGCCCCCCAGAAATGGTGTTCTGCGAAGACTGAGAATGCAGATGGCCAAAGCTCCCCGGGGCCTTCCTTGGGCAAGTTACTCAACTGCTCTTTGGCCTGTTCCTTCATCCGCAAAAAAGGGGTTAGTGATAGCACCTGCCTCGTAGGATGAACATTAAATACATATATACAGTATCTGGCATATAGGATGCAGCTTGCTGTTATATTAGTATTATTATTTTTTAACGATTTTATTTGACAGAGAGAGACACAGCGAGAGAGGGAACACGAGCAGGGGGAGTGGGAGAGGGAGAGGGAGAAGCAGGCTTCCCGAGGAGCACGGAGCCCGATGCGGTGCTCGATCCCAGGATCCTGGGATCATGACCTGAGCCGAAGGCAGACGCTTAACGACTGAGCCACCCAGGCGCCCCTGTATTATCTTTTTAAGTAGGCTCCATACCCAATGCGGGGCTCAAACTCAACGACCCTGAGATCATGACTTGAGCTGAGATCGAGTCGGATGCTCAATCGACTGAGCCACCCAGGTGCCCCTTATTATGATTATTTTACATGTTGACAATCATGAAATGGGACCCCATCTGAGATCCCCAGTCATAGGGGGTCTAGCTCAGAGTAAGTAGACCTAATCTTTTTTTTTAACTTTCCGTCCTTCTGCATATGGGGCACAGAGGTCCTTTCTTCAGCGTGAATCTCTAGTTGCCCCTCACTCATGTCTGTCCTTCACCTGTTATATTCCCAGCAGTGCCCACAAGTGGACACACACATATCTACTGAAAAGGAAAGGCATGAAGACCTCTATTGACCTGCCACTCTTGACTTCCAAAGCAATTTGCTGAAGGAGACTGGATTCAATCAAAAGGATTATTTTGAAAACTTTGCGGGAACTTTTAGTAAATGTTTTGATGGTTTTACTCTAAAGGTGGTAACATAAGTTTGCCAAATATTAAGTTTTATGTCCTTGTCGCACTTTGAGACATGACATTCTGATTTAGTTTAAGACTGGAACTTAATCTAACCTTTGGTATGTAATATTTAACAGCATATCCCATATTGGTGTTAAAAATAGGCCCAGGGGCTCAGTCGGTCAAGTGTCCGACTCTTGGTTTCGGCTCAGGTCATGATCTCAGGGTCGTGGGATTGAGACCCAAACTGGGCTCCACGCTCAGCGGGGAATCTGCTTCTCTCCCTCTGCGCCCTCCATCCCCGCACATGCACGCTCGCTCTCTCCCCCAAAATAAAATCTTTTTAAAAATGGGTTCAGTGAGGTTAAAACTATGCCGATTATAACTCAAATGTGCCCATTCTGGCACTGTTTATGAATTAAGTAAGAAATTAAAATCAACTGGATTTTGAAAAGGCAGTGCTCAGTCAAAATCGGGCCAGATCGTTTCTAACCCACAGGCTGTTTGAGTTAATACGCCGCCATTTCCCACCAGACATCCGATGTGAGGGAGAATGAGATGGTAGCCGGGTGGTGACTCCTGCCACAATTTGGAAATTAAATGACCTGTGGGGATCATTCTGATTAGAACATGAGTATAAATCCATCCCCTAGTCATTCTGGACTTCAGTAGTATTCTAAAAGTACTGCACGCAGTGTGACTTTCATGACCACATATGGGTATCTTCCTTGTAATCGTGCACATGGGATTCTTCCACTTCTGAGCCCGGGCTGCAGCCAAGCACCGATGCTACCGTCATCTAGGGAATCTGGCGTTACCCAAAAGAAAGCCCTACACTGGAGAGCAAAGGAGATTTAGCGTTATTTTTTTTAAGGTTTTATTTATTTATTTGACAGAGAAAGCACACAAGCGGGGGAGCGACAGGCAGAGGCAAAGGGAGAAGCCAGCTTCCCGCTGAGCAGGGAGCCCGACGTGAGGCTCGATCCCAGGACCCCGGGATCATGACCTGAGCTGAAGGCAGACTTTTAACCGACTGAGGCCCCCAGGTGCCTGGGAATTTAGCTGTTTTAAAATCTCCTGTAAAGATGCCCAGGTTGGTAAGTCTGAATATTACATGTTAAACATCAACACCACAAGCATTTAAAAAAAGGAAGTTTATTGGTCTTTAAATGGCTCAAATTGCAAATAAACCAATCGGGTAGTGGCATCAGCCTGACATGTGATGCATCCTTGTCAGTTTGCTTCATAGCACCTCAGTACCCAGGAGAGGAAAGGTCTAAAGCAAAGTCACAATGTTAGTGGTTAGGACCCCTGGTTAAATAAGACTGCAATGAGTACACATGGAGATCGCTGGGCCCGCGGGGCCAGTGTTACATTGGTAACTTTGATTCTGCACATGGCATAGCCTATGAAAAATACGAAATGAAAGATGTACATCTCAAATCCTTTAAGGACAAATATTTAACATGACAAGTCAAATGTAATACCTAAAGAGCGGAGTTCCTAAAAAGCCTATTTTTGTTCACTTTACATACACACCTGTTACCTGGAATGCCTGAACACATCTTTGACTTGTTGAAATTAGGACTGAGCAAAAAAGAAAGACGAACTTTGTTGCATCAACTGTCTTAGCCCCAGTCCGAAGAAGAAAAGAAAAATCTGGGTAGCGGTATATTTCCCGTTGAATTTACGTTCCCCAATAGCATGCTAGAATTCTTCCAGTGGGGGCACCACCCAACGGCGACACAAGCCCATGTCTGGCCTGTGTTTGCCAAACACGCTTGCTGCACTATACTCGGGGTCGACTGCCTGGTGTTAGTGTCAGGAAAATGTGGCTCTGGTGTTCTTCTGATGAGCACGGACTACAGAGACTCCTGAAAACTCTCCCAGAGCCAAGCTGTCACCTCCTGAGCACAGACTGAGAAATTAACAGGTGGCCAGCACGCCCGCCTTCCCCAGGTGTCCCAGTGCAAAATGCAGCAGCAGTAATGACCTTTTTCCTGTGCCCTGGTCCAGAGAGACCAAGAGCTTAACACATGCTCACTGCTTGCAGAAAGGGATTTCCAGGGACTGGCATTTTAGAGAAAAAGAGGGATCACTGAAACATGACTGTGCTGAACCCTCACAGTCTAAAATTATCTTACAAGTATATGCTGGCCCTTCATTGCAAACTACCTTATATTTAACTAAAAGTAATCAAGGTGCTCTGGACCCTTGCTTTCAAGAACCAGAGTATGGCACACATTTTAAATTTGGACAGACTCCTAGCAGACGGTTATGTTTTATGAACCTTCTATACAAAAGTTGTACTCTGTACCAGGCAAATATCCTCTCAACAGGACACATGGGGCGATGGGCCCACGGCACCAGGTGAGGACACACCCAGAATGATGTCACCGGGCATTTTTCGGTTTCTAAATTAAGGCATATTCAAAAATTTCCATGTACAAGTTTACACCACTTTTCCACATTAATCACCAGGTAATTGATGCAGGTTCACAGATGAATTACTCTCAATTTAACTATATGCAACAATCATGCCAATAACTTTTCTTCTATATTTTGCATAACAATGGTTAAAAAAAGTGGTACAGTTTAACTACCATGTTCACAATTGTCATTTTTCAAGGCAGTAGAAGACCAAGACATTTTAAAATGATATAAAATTTAAGCTTTATAATAAACCAGAGGAAGTAGCCTTTCCTCCCATCCCCCCCACCGTCTCAGCTCTAACAGTTCCAGAAAGACTGCCCTCGAAACACAAGCCCACACGCTACATTCAGGACCGCGATAAATGTAGGCAATTATGAAAGAAGTTGAACTGTGCTTCTTGGCGAAGCCACATTAATCTCTTTTTTAAGTGAATTTGACTTTCAGTGCAGTTCCAATTCATGCTTTTAGTGATACATAACAATTTCCAAATCGTTAAAGTAATTTCAGTCAATTGAGCCTTCAATGGCAATGCTTATAAATTATATTTATTAGTATGGTCAAGATAAGAAAGGAGTTTGGGCTTTGATTATAAAATGCAGCATCTTTCTCTGATTCTCTTGGCTAAACTTTTCCTCTTCTTTTTTCCATTCTTTTCTTTGCTGTCTTCCATCTTTCTGGCTCGAATTTCCCTCATCAGATCAAAAAATACCTAGAAAGAAGAAAACGGTAAATAAAGCCAACAGATAATATGAGGTTGGTACTTCTTGGAACCACAGCAGTAAGCCTTGGGAATTAACTAAGAGTAACTACTTAAGCTTAAGAGCTCTTGTTTGGGGAGTAGAGGGAGAAGACAGCATAAAACCAGTCTCCTTCTCCAAGTATACTGGGAAATTTTCTGAGTTACACTTTTTGGTAAAATTGGTCACATCATATAACCTAATCTTCCCATCCTAATTTTCAAGATAAAGAAGACAACAGCACTACAAATGATGACAGTTCCAAAGTTACAACTCAATGGATTCCGTTTATACAATTAATGAATGTATTTTACCAATTCATATTTAAAGTAATTAATTTATGTTTAATAAAATTTGTATTTACTAACTTGTTTTCCTTCAGCTCCGTTTTTAGAAACAAAGCTGAGGAAAATGAGTGCTTCCTTTATCGTTTTGATACCAGGTACTAAGAAAACAATTTTCTTTGTTGCAACATATCTGAGATTTTATCAATTCTGTCTGATGTCTAGAAACTGGCAAATGAGAGCTGTTAGCATAATAATTTAAAAATGACTAGTGTAACAACTCAAAAGTTAAATATCACTAACAAATGTCTGAGGGCAGACAGACAAGGGTTTAGAAGGACATGGGCTCACACTGTACACAAAGAGTTAAAAGTATGTGGATGATGACTGAATGAATAACTTTCATGGTCTATGCTCTAAAATTCTGAATTAAAAAAATTCAGTTATTACTTCTGTTTTATCTCTTTTTCTTGTAAGCATGAAATAAGAAGTGACACCACACCGATTTATTAAGAACTCCACGGAAAACAAAGATGTCAAAAATTCTAGTTAGCTTGTGCATCGTGACTGTTTTAAGTAAACAAATGTATGTTATGTAATGGCCGGTGTGCTTCTAGCTCTCTAAAGTAAAGGCTAACTGAAAAAGCGAGGTGCTGGAAAACAGGTAGAGAGAGCTACCTGCAGGAGTTATGTGGATTTGCCTGCATCTGAACTAGAAATGATGAAATGATAAAGCAAACACTACTATTATTTTCGGGATGAAGGGAACAGGGGACATGGAACAGTGAGGCATGTCTGAATATGCTTCATTATACAACTTCTACTTTGGCAACTAACTGTTCTACATATTAAAAAATGAAATTAAACACAAAAAAGCAGCTGCCCAAAACTGAAAATCAAACTAAAACAAATTAAGACGAACTACACAAAGAGTTGGTGACATAATTATACAGAGGAAAGAATTCAAGAGACTTTAAAACACAGCATATGGAATATACATCTCAGAATAGAAGCTAAGAATAAAAATAAAAACAAAACCTCAAAAAATAAAAAACAAAACAAGACCAATCTTAAACTTCACTTTGTAATTTAGCTGTTAATAGGAACAGGGAACAATCTTATATATACGTTGCAGGATAGTGTAAGAGAGCAAGTATGCTAATGTAGGTTAGCCTTTAGTCTAAGAGAGAAGATACAAAGAGAGGCAGAAAATCCTGAATGCTAAAACCGAATTAGAAGTAACAGTATGATCTCATGATTTGTTTTCTTTAAAAATACACATTTCCCAGCACTTCACTGAAAGGCCATGAAACATAACAGTAGTGAGCACATTCATCCTCAGGCTATGGCTGCTAAATACCATTCCTCCCAAGGGAACCAGTGTTCCTTAGATAAATGGCTGATTCCTGATCTGGAGCAAGAAACAAAAAGTCAGTCAGAAAGCAAGGAAGCTATTTAAAAAAAAAAAAAAAAGGCAAGCGATTAGAGACTAATGGCTTAAGTCAAATGGACATAGGACCAACAAAGGGGTGCGAATGGTTAGAACAGGGAAAAACGAAGCAAAGAAAACCCACAGAGAATGCAGGAGACTGAAACACACAGTGACACAGACCCCAGGGGTCTCTGCTCCCACTTGCTGCATCTTGGCTTCCCTGGGGTGATTTCGGAATTCGGAATTAGGCCTTCAAGCCCACAGCTGGCCAGCCGCGGCAGGAAGCTTCCAAACTAGCTACGTGTATTATCAGAGGGCTCCCCTGAAGCTTTCTGATGCAGATACATCAATATGGAAGGAACTTTGGAAGAAGATTTAATTTTTTTTTTTTTTTTTAAAGTAGGCTCCATGCCCAGCATGGAGGCCAACACAGGGCTTGATCTCACGACCCTGAGATCCTGACCTCAGCAGAAATCAAGAGCTGGACACTCAACCGACTGCGCCACCCAGGCACCCGTTATAAAATTTAAAAAGCAAACTACAGAAATGCATGATCTACATACACAGAAATACTATATATATGTAGTATATAAATGTACTATATATACTGTAAAAATCCTATTTATACAGGGAAAACACAAGCAAACACAAGCCTTCCCTTAGACTCTATATACTGGTCTTTAAATGCAGATAAATATCTGGAAAGACACACCTGAGTTACCACTGGTTACCTCACAGGAAGGGGAGTGGAGTGGAATTTGGGTGAAGAGTGATTCCCTTTTTCTCCTTACTACGAATTTTTCTTTATGCAATAAGCATGTGTTCATGTTTTTTAATGAAAAAAAATTAAAAATACAGTACATTTCTACTAAAATTCTTTTCCCGACATAAAATTGGCTTTCTTCATGTAAGAAATCATACTCTCCTTTTTGACATCCATCTACTTGCTCAACCTCTTTCCATTCCTCCAAGACGTTCCTTAAAAATTAGGAGCGACCTTGGAGTTACGCTTTAAAGAGAGCGTTTAGCCAGAAGGCCACTAACAAGGTCATGAGATGAACCTGGCACTCAGTGAGTCCACAAGCAGGTTTGCCAGGGGGTCCTCTCGCCTCTGGGTGACTCCTCTGTGACAGACATGGCCTCTGAGACCGGTGAGGCCCCGGCTCGACCACTCAGATGGTCATGAAGCTTTTCACAGGGTGGATTCAAAATCCGCCTCTTGGAAACTTCATTCGATAGTCTATTGGGAATCCGAAAGAGGACACGGCATGAGCCCTTAATGTCTTGTAGGGGAGCTAAGATTTGTTTTCTGTGACAAAACAGGATACTTCCCAATATAATAGAAGGAGACAGTGTTAACACTCATGAGCCCAGAAAAACCTGTAGCAGGCTCCCACAGTGGGTGACACACACCCCGGGGGATACCACAGGTACTCCAACCACCATGTGGAGTAAAAGAGCGAGATGACGTGGGCACCAGGGTCGGCCACACCCAGAGCCAGCAGCTGCCATCACAGGCCTTCTGAACTTGACTCCGGTATGTAATCTCTCCACATCTCAGTTTCCTCATCTAAAAAGTGAGCATGAGAAGAGCACTTCTGCTTTACGGGGTTAAAGATGCACACCTGGTGCTGGCCACAGCGCCTGTGTCTTATCAACACTACCGAGTATGAGCTCTTTCAACTACGAACATGATTTCCTCAGCAAGAAACCACATATCACTTAATTCTAGAAACTGAATAGCTGCTGCAAGTTACTTGTATTTAGCCACTGAGGTATTTTACCTGGCATGTACACTCTTCAGGGTGTAGCACGACATGCAATCACAGTATTCTGTATGCACCTGTACCTTGGTTTACAAGCCGCCACATTTCCTCTAATTTTGCTTTGGAGAGGTGACCACTGGCTACAGACTACACTCTCCAAAACTGGCCACAGCAATACTCCCTCTGTGTTCTTCTAGTGTCTTGCCACCCTCCATCAAGAGCTGGAGTCCATTCCCCTTCCTGTTGACCCCGGGGCGGACTTTGGGCCTCCTTTGGGCAAGAGAACAAACCGGAAATAATGCCGCATAAACTCCCGTGGCTGGGTCAGAGAAGGTGACGTGGTTCCTGCCTGGTTCTTCTTCTCTGGTGACGCTGGCCCTTGGCACCCACCCCACCTCCCTGCTGGAAGAAAGCCTCAAGTAGGGCACCTGGAAAAGGTCACATGGCAAGGAACCGAGGTGTCCCTGGACAACAGCCAGCATCAACTGGCTGAACCAGACATGTGTGAACGGTCTTTAGAAGCTAAGCCGAGAGGCTTCCAGTTCCCGGACTTGAAGCTTTTCAGCGGAGGCACCAGACACTGTGGAGCAGGGACAAGCCATCTCCCCTGTGAGCTGCCCAGATGCTCAGCCCAGAGATTCCATGAGCATAATTAATGGCTGTTTTCACCCCTAAGTTTTGGGGGTACAGTTTCTTATGCAGCCAGAGTAACTAAAATAGCCCTATACCTTGCCCTTTCCTCCTTTGACAATTCATGCATAGGGCAAAAAAATTCCTGCCAGCAGATGACACCACAGGGATGGTTGGGACGACAGCTTCATGGCTTGGTTGGATCCTGTTCGCCTCCTCTCCCCACTCCCCTCAGTTCAAATAGGTTTTAATAGAGTGTGCTCTACCTGCGCAAGACATCAATTAGGAGGAACCCCAATACACACACAATGCTAATATTCAATGTTGCCTCTCAAAACTCCAAACACACTGAACTTTAAGACATATTTTCATTACTAATTTAAATACATTTGCCATAGCTTTAGAGAAAACCGGTATACTAAGTAGAAATCTCGTAACACTCATTTTGTACAGATACCTTGGGCCTATAGGAATCTGACCACGTGACAAAAAACCCTAATCGGCTTAAGACAGTATAATGACATTGTCTTAAGTAATGAATGTCTACAGTAAATGAACAGAACGAATCTCTAATTTTTCTTTTTTTAAGAATCTCTAATTTTTTTTTTAGCCTAATGATTTCTGGATCAGCATTATAAATCTACAGGCAACAAGCAGACCAGTTCACTAAAACTTGAGGCCACCTAGAAACAGTGTTGTGGTCCCCTGGGCCGCAGTCTGTACCACCAGGGAGTTTACTAGAAATGCAAATTCTCAAGTTCCACCCACAGCAAATGAATCAAAATCTCTGGGGGTCAGACCCAGGAATCCGTTTTTATGAAGCTTCATAGACAATTCTGCCAGTTAAGAGTTTGCGAGGCACTCGGCAGAGCCGAGATGCTTGATGGCTGGAAAAGGCCCTACATGGGGGGCTCAAGGAGCCCATGCCTCGGCCCAGAGGGCAGTTTTCCTGAACACTGAAGATGTAGGTCTCTGGTAGCAGGAAGAAATAATGCACCTGGGCTGGCTCCTAGAAAGAAGGCAAGGGTGTTCCTCACCTGGACTCAGGAAAGGGCCACCTGAGCAAAGGGGGGAGATACAGAAGAGGGCAGAGGGAAAAACAGGTTGAGGGTGGGGAGTGTAGGTGTAGTAAAAAATTTCGAAGCCCTCTCCTCTGGGGCTCCTTTGTCTTGGGAGTGAACCTACATGGGGCTGGGCAGGTGTCAGCTCAGAGGACTTAACACCCTGCCTTCTAAATTACCCAGCCCATCAGGATAAGTAAAAAGAAAAATTTAAAAAGGGCAGGGATTCAGGTCAGAAATCCTGTCAGTGCTAGAAAAAAAGTGGTGTCTCGTATTTCAATGTCTCTTGGGAACCTGAGGACAAGGTGAAGTAAGAAATTCGTAACGTGTTGTACTTGAGCATTCAGGGTGGATAACAATCAGCACATATTAAATCACTGTGTGAAAATTTCACAAATCTCTAGACACAATGGGGTGGAGTGAGAGTGAATCAACGTATTGTTAACACGATGTAGCTGTAATGAGGCCACCCTTTACCTTGTCAACATTAGCTCGAGTTTTAGCAGATGTTTCCACATAGTTAACGTTCCACTGGTCGGCTCTGGTTTTTGCCTCTTCTACAGAAACCTGCCTTTTATCTTCTAAATCTGATTTGTTACCAACCAGCAGAAATGGAACGTTCTCATCTTCTTTTACTCTTAAAATCTGCTCCCTGGATGAGAGGAAATGAGAAAGAAATATTAATTATTACCCCCATGTGTTAGACCAACACAATAACAAATACCATCTGCAACGAGCATTTATTTACATGTTTCTTTACAGTAACAATGAGCTCATTTGTTGCATGGTGGGAAATGAGCAGCACGACCTCCTCATTCTATCATCAATCACTTGGCATTCATTACATATTCACTTCTCCGATGAAGGAACAATACACCAGAGAAGACAATATAAATATGGCAGTAGAGGTACAAAATGGAAGTGTCAAATGCAACTTCCTCCAAATGCTTTTTAAAAATAAACTTTTACGAGAAGGATGGTTTGAGATTTGCAGAGAAGTTGTGAAGACAGCAGAGTTCCCGTCCTCTCTGCACCCGGTTTCCCCTACTCGTAACATCTTACGCTAGTGCATGCGTTTACCACAACTAACGAGCCAATCCTGATACATCATTAACTGAAGTCCGAATTTTTTTTTTAAAGATTTTATTTATTTGACAGAGAGAGACACAGCGACAAAGGGAACACAAGCAGGGGGAGTGGGAGAGGGAGAAGCAGGCTTCCCGCAGAGCAGGGAGCCCGATGCAGGGCTTGATCCCCAGACTCTGGGATCATGACCTGAGCCGAAGGCAGACGCCCAACGACTGAGCCACCCAGGTGCCCCTGAAGTCCGAATTTTATTCCGATATTCTTAGTTTTTACCTAATGTCCTTCTCCTGTTCCAGGATCCCGTCCAGGATTCCACGTGACATTTAGTCATCAACTCCCCTTAGATTCCATGTGGCTCTGACAGTTCCCAGATTTTCCTTGTTTTTGATGACCCTGACAGTTCTGAGACTTGCTGGTCAGCTCATTTGTAGAACATCTCTCAACTGGGATTTGTCTGATGTTTTTCTCGTGATTAAACTGGGGTCACGGGATTTAGGGAGGAAGACCACAGAGGGAGAGAGCACCATTCTTATTCTTACTCATATTCTTATTACTTCATATCAATGGTCCCACTAAATGTTTTTAAAAGCCCCACAAGGGCCAGACATCTCTTGAGTATAGATTTTGTGTTTAGAGAGAGGTTATAGGCTGTCACCAGTTTTAAAGGCATCACGGCTCTCAGTCCCTCCTAGTCACGTGACTCTGAGCAAAGTACTTTGCCTCGGTCTCCTCGTGGATAAAACGGGGCTAACAACAGGACCTTCCTTATCCGGGTGCCAGCAGGATGAAATGTAAAGTGCTTCGAACTGAGCCTGGCACAGAGTAAATGTTCAACACAGGTGAGCTGTTCTTAACGATTACCAGTACTCTACTGGAGAAAGAGGTTTTCTTCTAAAATCAACCTTCTCTTTCTACCTTACCAATGCCTCTCCTTTGAAATGAAGAGACGCTGAAACTACAGAAACAATATTTTAGACTAAGAGAAAATGAGAAAATTAAAGGGGTGATTAGAATGACAGGTCAGCAGACGACACTGATTTTGCAGGGATCTATCGTGATGTTTGAGATGGAATACGGATCTTCACCAAGGCTTAATCTCAGATTTGTCAATTTTGTGCTTCTTAGACAGCGTCGCCTGAATACCACTGCCACCTCCATCACCGCTAACAATTCACTGAGCATCCCCAGTGGGCCATGGGCTTTCAATGCCGATCACTGCATGCATTATGTCATGCACCACTGAGAAAAACCGCTGCTCGTTAGAACAGTAAGATGTCCCACTACAAGACATGGCCCTGACTTTAAGAGATGATAAAATGCAAAAAAATGTGTGTCTTAGAATCTGTGAAATTCCCTACCACCTTGTTCATGCTCAGAGCAGTGCCTGGTGTGTGGTGAGCACTGTGTGAGTATTAGGCAGGGTTATGTTTAGTATTCCTGCATTCATCCGATGACCGATGTTGTCGTAAACATTCTAACAGACTCAGTGTTCGCCGACAGCTCTCTGCACCCGAGTTCCCCATTTTCTGGCAGGAATAGATTATGGACCACACAGTCACCTCCATCTTTCGCTGATTCTCTCTCTCCCTCTCTCCCTTCCCTTTCAGGAAGGAACAAGGTCAGTGGGGCACAGTAACTGGGGGACACATGCTGAGCTGTACAGGACTGAAGGGCTGTGATGTTTCCCACCATGCACATGACCTCTTGCAAAGAGCATGTCAACACTCACCATCACTACTATTACATTTCTGATGTGCTTGTGAAGGGGATATGGGTCAGTCATTATCTTTTTCCAGTGCCGGTAACAACAAATGTGCTGGTGCCTTCTTAACCAGTTTCCTTTGTGATCAACAGCCTCAACTAAGATGTTAACAACAATGGGCTTACCACTTGATCTCACTAACCACCAGAGACTGACTCTGGTTTTTGAGACTCTGGTACTTCTGGTCATATGTATATACAGTCATTAGTTTCTTTCTTTCTTTTTTTTTTTTAAATTAATTAATTAATTAATTTATTTAGACAGAGAGAGAGAGAGAGAGAGACAGCAAGAGAGGGAACACAAGCAGGGGGAGTGGGAGAGGGAGAAGCAGGCTTCCCGCCGAGCAGGGAGCCCGATGCAGGGCTCAGTCCCAGGACCCTGGGACCACGACCTGGGCGGAAGGCAGACGCTCAATGACTGAGCCACCCAGGTGCCCCTACAGTCATTAGTTTCTTAATAAACACCTACTAAGCTACTCTGAGTCAGGTGCTTCAGGAAGACCAATACCGAAAATGCAGTGAGAGCATTAACGAACGCTATCAGAAACGAGGCCATGGAAAGCCTGGACTTACTGGGTTCAGGGGTGAGAGGACAATATTCACGGAGAGTTAATTAGTTGGTCTGAATAAGCTACTTTCCTGGATGTCAGAGAAAGGCCATGCTATGTCTGCAGTCTTCATACACATTTTACTTAATGTGATGCCCCCTTTAAATAGAGTGTTAGAGGCTGTTACAGAATTTAGAATAGGCAAGTACCTTCACAAACTGGTCCAACTGCTTTTTGACATAAGAGAAGTGAGAACCAAAAAAAAAAAAAAGCGTTTTTAACACTTCTATTAAACGTTTGTTTACTAAGCATGCCCTGTATGATACATGCCAGGAACTGGGCCAAATATGGGTACTAGGGATACTCAGATGAGTAACAAGTGGGTCCTGCTCTCAAGAGTTTTCCCCTCATCAGGAAAAATACATGCAAACCAAGCAGATTCTGGGAGTGTGGTAAGTGTGCTGGAGGCGCTGCTGCAAGCATACTGTGTGTTCAGATGAGGAAACGGTGGCTCTGCCCTGGAGACCGGAGGCCCAGGAAGGCTCCAGAGAGGAGCTGCCACTGTGGGTTAGACCACGTGGAGCATAACCATTCAGACGGCCTCAAAAATGCTTTCCTGTTGCCGCTGAGTCACTGGGACTATTTTTATTTATGGGAAGGCAACACATCGGAGGTACAACAGAAGAGTAATGAATGATTCACTTCTCTGTCACAGCAGTAGCCCAAGATTCTCACTCTTGGCGTAAAAATTCTTTATTTCCTTGAGATATCACTTTGGCTTTGGCAAACTCTGGTGACAACATTTATCCCCTTACCTAGAACAGGACTTGCTATATAACAAGCACTCAAATATTTGCTGAATGAGTGAATGAGCACTGACATTTATATAATTTGCAACATGCCTCCCAAGATTATAAGTTCCCAGGGCCTGCACCCTTTGCACTTTATCACGTACAAAACTCCTCCCTTAGAGAAACCAACAAAGTTAATTTTACAAATAAATCTGCATTTCATTTACTTATTTATTTGAGAGAGAGAATGAGCAGGAGCAGGGGGAGGGGCAGAGGGAGAGGCAGACCCCCTGCTGAGCAGGGACACGGGCTTGATCCCAGGACCCTGGGGTCACGGCCTGAGCTGAAGGCAGACGCTTACTGGACTGAGCCACCCGGGTGCCCCATAAATCTGCATTTTAAAAGTTTCTCAAGGACATGTTTTTTTTGCAGAGAATGCTCTGTTAAATTCCTTTAAGTTCTTGAGACTTTCAAGTGGACATGAAAAGGAAGCTTTATATAAGCCCAGGTTCAGGGGCGCCTGGGTGGCTCAGTCGTTAAGCCCAGGTTCAGTTTTTGCTCAACCACTGGAAAACTTCTTTCGTCATCAGTGGAAATCCTTATCCTTCAGGCTCACCTATCTCATGGAGGCCTCTCTGCTTCTCTCCTTTCTGGGATCCCGGCAATGATCACTGCCCACGTCTCCTACTTTGTCGCTACCTTGCTCTTGGTTTCATGCCTTTTTCAACTAGGCTGTGTGAATCTTGGAAAATAGAGGATACACTACATGTTTCTTTTGTGTCCCTCATATCAAGGCAAACTTGCAACACAAAAATAAATATAATTAAAGAATACTTTTGGGGGTGCCTGGGTGGCTCAGTGGGTTGAGTGTCTGACTGTTGGTTTCGGCTCAGGTCGTGACCTCAGTGGGATCGAGCCCCGTTTCTAGCTCCGCGCTCAGTGCGGAGTCTGCTTGGGATTCTCTTTCTCCCTCTCCCCGCTCACACTCTCTAAAATAAATAAATAAATTTTTTTTTTTTTAAAGAATACTTTTGGGCGCCTGGGTGGCTCAGTCGTTGGGCATCTGCTTTCGGCCTGGGTCATGATCCCAGGGTCCTGGGATCGAGCCCCGCATCGGGCTCCCTGCTTGGCGGGGAGCCTGCTTCTCCCTCTCCCACTCCCCCTTCTTGTGTTCCTGCTCTCGCTGTGTCTCTCTCTCTGTCAAATAAGTAAATAAAATCTTAAAAAAAAAAAAAAGAATACTTTTGATTATGCGTGTAGTATCTGAGACTACTCAAGAACATATTTATGCCCTATCTCTCTTAGAACCTCTCTCCCCTTCACTAATCACCCCCCTGCAAACCAAATGGATGACAGATTTTGATGAAGCAAATAGTAAATAAGATATAAGAAATAGGGCGCCTGGGTGGCTCAGTTGGTTAAGCGACTGCCTTCGGCTCAGGTCATGATCCTGGAGTCCCTGGATCGAGTCCCGCATCGGGCTCCCTGCTCGGCAGGGAGTCTGCTTCTCCCTCTGACCCTCCCCTCCCCATGTACTTTCTCTCTCTCTCTTCTCTCTCTTAAATAAAATCTTTAAAAAAAAAAAAGATATAAGAAATATATAACAGAACCTTCTGTGCCAATCTAAAGTGTTATTATTTCTATTAAAACAATCAGTGTGTGCTGCTGGGCATCTGTGTTGTGGGGGGGAGGGCAATGTGCCTGCTGAGCCTTACACAGGTGCTGTAACCCTGGTGACTCACACAGACAGATCTAAAATCTGGGGCAGAGCTCCACGAGGTGAGCCAAGTGTCAAGTATTACGGCAGCAGTAGGAGTATACTCCAAAGAGAAACACTTCAGTAGCGGGTACTGAGGGTGTCACAGTGGGAATAAACACAATGACACACAGAGTGAAAGACTAACGAGGAGCCACCTCCAGCTGTCTACTTGTTTCGGGGGAAGACACCGCTGTGCGGAATGTCAGTGCAAAGGCCTTGGTCCCCATCGTACCTGAAGTCGGCCGTGGCTGCAAAGGATTCCATTTCTGTGATAGAGAAGACACAGAGGAAACCCTCTCCACTCCGGAAGTAGTTGTCTCTAATTGCGGCATAGTCCTCCTGGCCAGCTGTATCCAAGATATCGATCTGTACTTCCTCCCCATCCAGCACTACCTTCTTCCGGTAGCTGTCTGCTTTGGTGGGCTCATAGTCCTCCACAAACTGGAAAAGATGAAATACAGATTCACGGGAAGTTGCCAAAACAGTACAGAGCTCCCATGCACTCTTCCTTCTGTGTTCCCCAGTGGTAAACATGACATTAATTTACATTTTCATTTTAGGTAATTCGGTGGCTTCTACTTTGGCAAAAAGCAAGCCTTTTTGTCTCTGGGGAGCTGCCTTCTTCAGAGGGAAGGAGGTGGGGGGCCATGAATTGGTTGTTAGTTTCTGAGTTTTACCAAATAAAGTAGAATCTAAGAAGAAAAAAAGAAAAGCAAGGGTTGAATGATTAAGTCTAGATGGCTTACAGCTTGAAAACTGTGCCTTTTTCTTCCTGCAAACACGATTATACATCTACTTAATCAAATATATAAAAACTCTTTTCAATGTGACTCTAAATATACATTTTCATGCCAGAATTGTGGAAATAACTTGAAAGTGAGTCAATATTGAGGTAAGCATTGAAAGTTGCTGTGAAATCTTCTCTAAAATGAACCAAGTCAATAAAGTGGCTTATACTACTCAGCAGAACAGCAAATCACGAACTTTGAAATCTCTAAATGTCTGACTTTTTTAATAATACAATTAAACAACTTTACATTCCCACAGCTATCTTCAACTCTGTAAAATCTCATCTTGGTATTTCTGATCAATGTATCATTGTAAGCATGTGTGTATGTATACGTACATACTTTTGCAGGTTTTTTTTTTATTAGTTCCTATAAATATTTTCATTATCTGATACTTCCTTATTTATTTGCTCATGTCTATATCTCCCTACAAGAATATAACCCTTGGGAGGAGGGACCTTGACTATTCTACTCATCACTGTTAGCTCCCAGAGCTTAGAACAGTTCCTGGTACATGGAGGATACTCAACACATAATTATTTAAAAAATGAACACGGTGTATTTGTAACTATAAAGGCTACAGAACATTCTGCCATATTTCCATGCTTATTTTTATAAGTATTATATATTTATGAAGATTTAACAAATACAAATATTCAGATATCACATCAGATACTACTGTGAATATTAATATTGACGAACACTAAGTGAAAGCTTAATCATTCATCAAATGTCAGGTATGTGAATAGTCTTACTTTTGACCTCCTACTTATTGTTAAGAAGGGGCCGGATTTAGCGATTACTTTGAAAGACTAGCTATTAAAATGAATAGTATGGAAAACAGATTGAACAGATAAATCAGCAAGTTCATTTAAAGAACATTTCAATCTCTTCTGTTTTCAAATTTTTTGCTATAGTCCCCAGTGAGCAAGACAACCTGCTGGATTTAAGCCGTTTGCGTGTGTGACAGAAATGCTGATGAGCAGGAAATCGGGTGGTAAGGATCTGCAGGATTTGTTGTTAGGAGACCAGGCTTCATGCTCCGTTACTCATTGGAGATCACACTCCTCTTGGACAGGTTGAGAAACCTCTCTGAGGTTCTGTTTTCTCATCTGTAAAATGGGGATACTACCATACCAGGATTGTTATGAGGATTAAGTAAGAAAGAGTAATCATAAAAACTTGCTTCTACTGGAAGGAAGAGTTGAGGATAAATGTTTAAGCTGGATTATCAACTCTTAAATCATTTAGGCTTGGTAAGAGTCTTCTGGGGAAAGAATATATTGCTGTATATGGGCTGAGACCTTAACTCTGGGGCAGTAAAGTCTGATATAAATACAGGCACACAAATCTGTAGCCTTCTTGTAATTATGTTTTAGGGACACAGCCTTTACCTGTCTAATGGTGAGTGTAGCTCCATGCCAAATACTACAACCGGTTTTTTCACCATTATTAAAATTATTTTATTTTTATTATTATTATTATCACAGGACACCTTATTATGTCAACTTCAAGTTTCAATTAGGTACTGTATCTACTGGTTCTACTAATTTAAGGTGGGAACTCCATTAAACACTTAAAACAAAAAAGCCAAAGTTAGATTGCTTAAAAGGAGGTACTGTTTCCAGGTTTGTTTTGTTTTTAAAGTATAAAGTTTTTAAGGATCTTGAGTTATTGACTTGTTAAATCAAGATATGTACAGATGTTGGCTCTGAATTTAAAAATGGGAAAAAACGATTACAGTAGCTTTCAAGGATTCAGGAATACATCTAAAATAGCACCAAAACGAAGCCATAGAAATCCTCTCTGAAAGCCCAAACTTAGCTATTCATTAAAAATGGGCACTCACCTCATCATACATGAACTGTAGGGTCAAAGCGGACTTGCCCACACCACCACTGCCCACCATGATGACTTTGTGTAGGGCCAAAGAATTCTGACCCTTGGGCTTGTTTGCAGCCATCTTGTGTCACAGAGTTTGCAGCAAAGGAGTAAGAAGAATCTAAAAATGAGGAATGAAAAAATAAGTAATGCTCAGTACATTCTTCTTCAGAATTCCAAGTGTAGGAAAGAGATACGGTGTCCTTGGGCTTCAAGATACTAGTTTTCATTTTCATGAAATCACTGTGGTGATTTTCAACAGATGGCAAATGAAGTATGCTCATTTAGAGGAAGAACCACTTATCAGAGAAGACCATGACAATACAAGTATATGAGGCAAGGGCATTTCTCCTAGAACAGCTCATTTTCAGTAATAAGCTGTGACCCAAAGTAAAAATTTCCCAGTGCAACCACATCCTGACAATAAAGGAGTGTTACAGGTATTAGAATATAATCACACAGATTATGAAAACAGGTTAAACAATCACTTTTTTTTTGTTTTAAAGATTTTATTTATTTATTTGACAGAGAGACACAGCGAGAGAGAGAGAGAGAACACAAGCAGGGGGAGTGGGAGAGGGAGAACAGGCTTCCCGCGGAGCAGAGAGCCTGACGTGAGGCTCGATCCCAGGACCCTGGGATCATGACCTGAGCCGAAGGCAGACGCTTAACGACCGAGCCACCCAGGCGCCCCACTTTGTTTTCATATTAACCTTTATTGGCAATAATTAAAGAGATGTTTCTTCTAATTCTAGTAAAAAACAACTGACCCCCGCCCCAGCCCCGCAATGAAAAAAAAAAAAAAGAGGTTGCCGATTGAAAGGTTTACTCACTGTCAGTTTATAAATGAAGAAATCTCATCCCGGTAACTTGGCAGCAGAATTATAGATAGAATCCAATACTGTATACCACACCTCCCAAGGGGCATCATGGAATAGATGGCCGATCTAACTTAAATGGCTGGATGCAGTGTGTCCTCACTTTCTTCAGAGCACACACTTGTGTACTACTTGTATGTGCTCACGGTGGGAAGACCAGATTCCTCCAGAAGCTGGAGCGCTGCTCCACACTATGGCACCCAGTACCGGGCCTTAGAAAAAGAGGCCGTGAGGTCACAACCAGCAGCGTGGGGAGCCCAAGCTAGAAGCCTTTTGTTATTCGAGGTTCAAGGGGCCAGCTGCTGCCTTCCTTCTCAGCATCCTCTGACTGGTTCTGGTTGTCGTATGGCTTTCCCAAATTGCAGCTCACAGGACCACATCTCCTCCTGCCTACCTCCCCGTCCTGTCTCCCAGCTCGGCTGCATCATCCCCCCACTGGCCTCCTTTGGTTCTTTGGTGCCTCTTGGCCCTCGCCATGCAGGATCTTGCGCCTGGCATACTCTTATTCTATTTGGCTAAGACTTCTCAGTTTTGGGGTCTCAGCCTTACCTGAAACTCTCAACCTCAATTAGTTAGGCTCTCCCCTGCCCTGTGCTCTCATACAACATCTGATGATACTTTCCCTCATAACCATTATTATAGGTTGAAACCACTCGAATGTGTTAGTTCCTTCTTCTGGGTCATCTCCCCTAATACACCAGAAACAACTCGAGTGCAGGGAGCCATGCCTACTTGCTTTACTTTATGCTCAATGCGACTAACACAGCTCGGCGAAATCAGCCATTCAGTACAAACATGCTGAATGAACAAATAAATGTTCTCAGTCTGACAGCCTTGGGGAGTGATTTAGACTGTACTGGTATAAAGTGGCCATTGCTACTAGAGATCTGATCACAAGTCCGGGCAAGGACAGTCCACTGTGGGTCTGTGCCTCACACACTGGCTTACAGGCACTCAAGAGCTGGATGATTCTCAGGCGGCGCCCAGAGATCACACCCATATGACTATCTGCCCAAACAGAACTAAGTCTTTTTTTTTTTTAATGGATTTATTTATTTGTTGTACAGAGAAAGAGGGAGAAAGAGCGTGTATGTGTGAGTTGGGGGAGGGGCAGGAATCTTCAAGCAGACACCCTGCTGAGCACAGAGCTCAATCTCAGAACCCATGAGGTCATGACTTGAGCTCAAACCAAGAGTCCCACACTCAACCCACTGAGCCACCCAGGCGCCTCCTCAAACAGAAAAGTCTCAAGGAAAAAAAAACACAACCACCCATAATCTTACTATCCATTTAACAACATGAACATGTTCTACTTTGAGACTGCTTTCAATCTGTATGGAGCATAACCTGAGCTGACACTATATATGCAATTTCTGGCCCCGTTCTTATTGTGTCTCATAAACATTTTAGCAGAAGCAGCTTGCACTGTGAAGCGTCCTGTAAGGAATCTATACTTGGAGGCCAGCAATTTGATCAACTCAACACACAAGAATTGAGTCCCCCCTTTTTCCTGGGACCAAGGACATGATCATTAGATTATCACTGCTCAGAAACAGTGAAAAATAACAGCATATTTCAGATAAGGAACTGAAAGCCTGAAATCTTCCCAGCCTAAGCACTTTATGGAACATGATGTAGCTGGTGTTCCTACGTGAATCAGAAAATGACTTCTCATCGTTATGACCCTTACTTGCTGGTAGCTGTAATCACTTCATGACGACGTAACTACTGTCTTATTTTTAAAACAGTAAGCATACTCTAAGAGCTGTGTGTGTGTTTTGAAAGCAAAACATTTAGCAGCAATAGCCAACTGGGTTAGAACACTTTTCTTTCCAGAACAATTTAAAATACTGTTTAAATATTTGTAATATATAATTTAAAATTTACATTATATTTATTTCATACACATATTTAAATATATAAGATATTTAAATATTGTAAAATATTGTGATTTAGATATAAAAAAGGCAGATTCCCAAAGATATTCTTCCAAAGTGCAATCGGTCCCTAATAACTATGAGCTGCATATCCAACACGTTCAAGAGGCTATGGAGGACAAGAAGCTTCCACTGAGGAGACACTCCTCTCTCCCCAGTTCAAAAACTTGGCTCCCAAATTTAGCTCCCAATCCCTAGTCTAGATGTTGTTTTGATGGTAAATAAGCCAACGCCCCTTTTTACCTAGAACTTAAAACAAACATATACATAAATAAGAAAATTCCATAGTGCTGAGTTCAATAAAGAAGATGAGGGGCACGGGGCTGAAGAGTAGGGGGGCAGGCTAGTTTAACCAGGATGGTCAAGGATGACTCCTTTGAAGAGGTAGCATTTGAGCTGAGACCTGAATTTTAGGAGAGAACCAGGCAGCTCTGAGGGAAGTGCATTCCAGACGAATGGCAAGTGCCAAGACCTAAAATGGGAGAGTCTGGCATGTTTTAGGGACCAAGCCGGAGTCCAGAGTGGATGGAGCCTTCGGAGTAAAAGTGGGGAGAGTAACAGGAGGTGAGACTGAGAGGTAGAAAAGGCCAACTGACAAAAAGCCTTGCAGGCCATGGAAAAGTGTCGGAGTTTAATTTTAATTGTAAGGGAAGTCCCTGGAGAGTTTTTAAGCAAGATAGTGACATAATTGCACTTACACCTTTAAGAAGATTAGCCTGGCTGGTGTGTGGAGAGTGGCTGGTAGAGGTGCAAGAGCAGAGAGCCCAGGAGGCTGTCTCACAGTCCCCTTAAGAGAGGGCAGATGCTTGGCCTACGGCAGCTGCAGCCCAAATGGTAATAATCCTAGGCCCCCATAACTAGTACTTGCATAACTATCAATACTATCTATACTGGGGACAACACCGACAAACCTTTACTGAGCACTCACTAGTGCCAGGCACTGCTTAGAGCACCTTACACATATCAGTTCAGTTGGGTACCACATGTTAGGAATGAACAGTCCTATGAGATGTACTATCTTAATTTCATTGAAAGCTGAGGATCACAGAAGTTGACTTGCTCAAGGCCGAGTCAGGACTCAAACTGAGGCAGCCTGGCTCTCCCAACTACTATGCTATCTGGCATGCTTCTGGAGAAACAGCTGACATGGGGGAAATGGCAGGGGGGCGGGGGGAACAAGAGTATCTTCTAAAAATACTGAATGTGTGGTGGTGCCACTACCTAACATGGAAAAAGACAGGAAGGAAGAGGTCTGCGAAAGAAATCCTAAGCTCTGCTCCAGTTAGGAACTGAAAAGGAAATTGGACGTTCTAGTCTGGAATTCAGGAGTGAGGGTAGAGATGGACACAAGAATTTGAAGGTTAGTTTACAGACGCATTTAAAGATTTTATTTATTTATTTATTTATTTATTTATTTATTTATTAATTAATTATTTATTTGAGAGAGATAGAGAAACCATGCACACGCATGAGTGGGGCAGGCAGAGGGAGAGGCAGAATCTCAAGCACACTCCCCACTGAGTGTGCAGCCTGACGTGGGGCTTGATCTCACCACCCTGAGATCATGACCTGAGCTGAAACCAAGAGTCGGATGCTTAACCAACTGAGCCACCCAGGTGCACCAGTTTACAAATGTATTTAAAGTCACAAATCGGAATGAACTCACTTGGGGATAAGATGAAGACGGACAGGAAAAGGCAGCAGGAGAGATTCCTAAGACAACCCAGCAGTCTTGTTCAGAAGTGGCCACTCAAGAGAAAATCCAGTGACTGTATAGTCAGAAGGTGGTTAAATATCAACTCCTGCTGGGAGACTGAGCTGAGATATGATGAGATAAGAGATTTACTGTAAGATATATAAGATATATAAGATAAGAGATTACCAGATTTGGCAAGATGAAGGTTGCTAATGACCTTGGGAAGAGTCATTTCATCAATGTGGTAGGAACCACAGCCCGGATGGAGTTGGTTGAAGAGAAAACAGAAGGTACAGAAGTGCACTTTTACTCTGAAGATGAAGAAATGAGGCCATAGATGGACAAATTTATTGTTTGGTTGCTTTTAAAACATTATTAATGGATGTTCATATGATAATCATCTAAAAGAGGCAGAAACACATTAACAAGTGAAAGGATAAAAACCAGATGGCCATCTCAATAGATGCAGGAAAAAACATTTGACAGAGTACAATATCCATTCATGATAAAAATTTTCAACAAAGTAGGTTTAGAGGGAACATATGTCAACATAATAGAGGCCACATGAAAAACCCACGGCTAACATCATATTCAATGGTGAAAAACTGAG